ACATCTCGTTTTTAGATGTAGTTAAAAAGTTGATCACAGTGTCAGAGGCTGCTGGCAAATTCTGTTAACAGAAGTATCCAATGTCTGCTATGCCCTCCAGGACAGAAATGAGGCAGTGGAGGATCTTTGGGAAATTGAAACACTGGGCTTGTAATTTTGAATCCATCAATCCTGAATTATTTTTGTTGTCAAAAGAATTGCAGCCAAGTTGCCTGTCCAGCTCCTGGATTAGTTGTTTGTGGGGTTTTTGTTATGTTGTTGGTACTTTGGAAGCTGTATGAAAGGTGAGCAGGGATTTACAATATTGTCTCATAGTATCTCTCTGATGGCCTGCCTGTGCTGGAAGGTTTTCAAGGAAATAAAAAGAGGTTTGAACTACTGTTTCTGGAAGATTTATGTGACTTATTGTCAGAGGCTACTCTGAGCTGCTTGTCTCAGGGCTGCAATTTCCCCCTCCCTGCTCCCTTCGCTTGCCCTGGGTGTACACAAGAAGGAAAGCTTTCACTGCAGTGTTCTTCAGGGGATAAGCAGCACAGTCTGAACTCATCCTTCCCCTGGGGAGGCACTAAATGGTCAGTAAAAGAGATGACCAGCTGGAGAGCAGCTGATTTACAGCAGGAAGCTGAGAGTAATTGCCTAGGCAAAAGCCAGGAGCCCTCACTAATGAAGCTGCCCCTGGAACTGCAGGAAAGACTGGAGATGGCTGGGGATGCTGCTTCACCTTCCCTTTGTGCTGCTGGAGCTGCTGTAAACAGCAGAGCTTAAAAAGGGAGCTGGGGAGGAGGGGTGGGCATGACTCATGGCATCATTTTATATTTATCAAGTGGAGGTGTATGAATGTTGTTCTTCATTTCATAGGGATGAGTAAGTAGGTAATGGATGGTTCTTAATCTTCCTAGCTGATAGAAAAAGAACCCCAAAGTCATCTCTTGGGGTGGGTTAAATCCAAAGTTCCAAACGTTAAAGAGCAGGAAGTAGAACTGTTCATCTAAATTAAAGAAATGGAAGTAATAAATTATTACCCAAAATAATGACATAAAAGTAATAAAATATTACCCAAAGCTTGGGGAAAAGGCATGTAAAATAAAGAGGTATTAAATGCTTTTCTTTTATTTTTTAATCAAGCTGTCCTGTCATAATGCAATGACCTGATTTTTTTATGAAGACAGAATTCCACTTGCTTTAGTCAGCCAGTGGTCCATGGTTTGTACCTACCTGTGGAAATCAAGTCAAAGGAAAGACTGGGCCACAGAAATGTTATCTGGCACCTCACCTCAGTCTTGTCTAGACTTTGCACTTGAAGATAGGAAGGCTGCAAGCAATCTGGAATGGAGGTGAACTCAAGAACAGGTGCTGGTGGGAAGCTAAAAATAGGAATTAATGTGGGAGAGTTGGAGCTGTGTGTTATAAATGGTGCAGAGGAGATGCTCGTGTGCCTCTGCAGGTCCTGCTTGTGCAGTCATGCATTTCCAGTGAGGCTGGGGAAGGTGATGTGGGATTTTTATTTATAGTGGTGCCCAGGAGGCCAGGCAGTCCTCAGTGTGGGATATAAATGTTGGGGAATGTCAGTGTGTGTTGTACCTCCGAGGAAAAGAGCAGGGAGAGGGGAAATCTGAGAGAAGCTGGGCTGGTGAGGTATGGACCTCCTAAATTAGTACCCTGCTGCTGGAAAGAGGGATGTAAGGCTTCAAAAATAAGTGACACCTCCTCTTTGCATTGTAACACAGCCCTCCAGGAAAGAATTTCAAGGAGCTGGGAGTTGTTACAGAGTGTTACTATACACCACAAAATGGGTTTTCAAGAACATCTTTGTTTTTGGAGGATTGTGGCAAGAAGCAGGAGGAAATGGGCCGCTGGGATGTTTTTCCTGAAGTAGCACAGTGTCATTGAGCCACATCTCCACTGCAGGGAGGGAAGGCAAAATAAAATGGAGTTGTATGTGTTCTGTAACAGGTTTGGTGCCTTCAGCCTTACTAAGAACTCATAATCTTTTTATAATGCTTGATTCTAGAAGATTGAATGCACTGTTCTGTGCTGCAGGTTCTGCTGCAGAAAATAACTAAGGGTGCATGTAATAATGCTGTAAAATGTACAGACTTGGAGCTTTTTGTTTCCTAATTGCTTCAAATAATTTAATGGAAAGTCTCATCTCTGCAAGACATGATGTGTGTTCTGAAGACATTTTTGAGTTGAAGTTCTGATGAATTCTTAGGCTGGTGGTCTTCCAGCCAGATTTCCTATGCTGAATTCGAGTTCTGCAGTTCCTTGTGTGAATCATGGCAATTCCATCAATGCCTTTTGGCTCTGTCCAGAGTTGTTAGGAGGGGGATCATGGTGGTGGCTTTGTCATGTGTTCAGTCCCTTTAGTAACTGGAAGAAAGGCACAGATTGATTTTTTTTTTAAATGTGCACTGCAAATTATGGTTCATTAATGAAGGTTGAATAGAATTGCTATTAATTTACAGGGGAATCTTGCCAAGGTGTAATGGGTGGAAGCAGGCTTTTAAAAATGGAAATTAGTTATATGACATTGTGTTAGATTTCAATTTATTATAAAGTTAAAGGTGGGGGCTTTTTTGTCTCTTCTTTAAGACCATCCGTCTTGTAGAGGGCTGTAATCCCATGAGGAATTTTAAACTAATTTGAAGAAAACAGCAGTTATAGAATTTACATTTTAACTTTAGTGTTACTTTATGCTGTATTTTCATTAGAGCATAGAGTAGGTGCAAATAGTATCATTTTGTAGGCTAAAAATTAGCTGGTAGTACTTTGAAGTAGAGAATCTTTATTAATTTATGTTTGGGTATTTTTTCTTCTGTGATAATTAGTTTACTGACAAATAAGAAAAAGCTTCTGAGTTTTGTTTTTTGCCCTGGAAAAAAAAATTCAATTATTGGGGTAGTTCAGCTTTAGCTAATTGTGTGTTCATAATGGAGCATTATGAGCATCCTCCTTTCATTTTCCTTGAAAGGTTTTCTGAAACATAGATTCTCTTATGGGGGGAAAGTGCTTTTAAAATTCAGTTGGTTTTATTCAAGGATTTTTAATCAATCCGGATCTTGTTTGAAAAACAAGTTTTCCTTGTTTCGTTTTCTTCACATCTGTGGAGAACACAGCTTTAAGTCTGCTCAGACAGGAAACCAGCCACCAATATTTGCTTTTTTTCAGGGACAGCCTTTTCTGGGCTTCATAAACTGTTGATATGAAGCCTAAAAGTGTCCTGGAAATGCTGGAGGATTTTGTTGAAGAACCACCTGGTACAAATTAGGGCAATACTGACAAATGGCAATTTTTATATTCATTTAAATGCAAACAAGGTGTGATGCCAAGTTCTGCTGGATTAGAGGTGTAATTTAGAGAACAGCTACCCTTGAGCTTGCCCTGTGTTTATAGGAGATGTTGCTTCAGTGTGAAGTGATCCCAAGAGCCTCAATTGAGTTACTGATGAATGTTTGTTAAAATAATGATACTGTCCTGAGTGCTCAAGTGTTTATTTTTGTGGTCCTTATAAATATAACATGGTTACAGAGCTTGACTTAGATCTGTGATATTTAAATTATGAGGAACACACCAAGAAAATTTAGATTACCTTCATAAATTTTCTTACTTTATTGAAAAATAAACCTTTGCATATTTAAACCATTGTTGCTGGTGACTTTTAAAAAATGTTTCTCAAAGTGATTGAGTCAAAAATTTGTTTGTGTCCTAATTAGTTATAAAATGACAGCTGTAAATACAATTATAAATGTACATGTTTGTATATTGATAACTCCCCACCCCAAAAATGTAAATATCTGAGTCCCTAAAATAAACACTGATTCTTTACCCAAAACAACACTTGAAAAACTGTCTCATGTTTTGGTGTGATGTATCAGTAGCTAACTACAAATAATTATCAGGTGTCTGTCTCATTGTATGTGTATGTAAGTGTATTTAAATCAAGTGACCTCAAATATTAAAGGTAAAGAGTTTAAAGAAATACTAAAATGAAGCTTCCATATTACAGTTAAAGCTGGAAAATTATGAAAAATGTGATGTGCTTCAACCTTCTGTGTCTTACATTAGTATTTTTGGATCTGTACTATTTCTGAATTTTGTAACAAAATGTGAAGACTGAATCATTTTTTCCCTGCCCTGGGAAAGATTGGCATCAACCTGATTTTTATCATTTTTAGATGAGTATGCAAATTTATCTTTGCTCTTACAAGGCTGCCTCTTAAAGTAAAATGACTGTCCCATAAAATAAAAGGAAGCAAAACCCGTGATGCAAAAGGCAGATCCGTAAAAGGTGAATGGTAAGAGGGTAATAGGTGGGCACAAAGCAGATGTTATTTAATTTTTTAATGCAGAACAAATTTAAAAAGAAAAAAGAAGACCCCAAAAGCCAAATTAAAAGCCTGGTGCTCTCAGACCTCAGTACCATGAGCAGAGGGTGTTCACATCTCTGTTGGCGCACATACAGCCTCATTTTTCCTATTTAATGTATAAGAATGAAAAGATGTCTTCTTAGACACAGCTAGATGTGAAATGCTTTTTGTAGGAGGGAAGAAAAACGAGAACAATGTTTCTAAAGGCTTTTTTACTGCATTTGCATAAGCTAGATATGAAAAATTGCAGTGGGCAGTGGAGCTCCTAAAGATTCTTTCTTGGCCGTGAGAAGCAACGTCAAAGGAGGAAGTGTAACCCCACTGCTGTCTCAATTTTGTGCACGTTGTGAAGGATTTTTCAGTGATCTTGTCAAAGCCTTGATGCTCATCTGCTGCTTCCCACTTGTAACTTTACACTTAGGCTGTTGGACCTGCTAAATAAACTCTTTAAAGTCTGAAAGTCCTGTCTGAAAATGCAGCGGTGGTGGTGTGGGGAGCAGCTACGCTTCACTTACCCTTACGTAGAAACTTCTTGAAGCTGCTGATTGAAACTGCTCAAAATGTCGTGCACTGAGCAGCCTTAAAATTAGCAGCAAGGAACTTTGCTTACCTCCTGTGCTTTTTGTTGTGCAGTGTGATGTCCAGGGTCAGAAATGCCTTATGTGGATCGCCAGAATCGCATCTGTGGTTTCTTAGACATTGAGGAAAATGAGAATAGTGGGAAATTCCTGCGGCGGTACTTCATCCTGGACACGCAGGAGGACAACCTGGTGTGGTACATGGATAACCCACAGGTGAGCTGCTCCTGCCAGGGATTTCCTGGTTTGACTCAATTTTTGGGTTTGCTAATGAATTCACAAAAGAAAAGTGGGGTTTGGTATTATGGACCTGGAAGCTAGGGGAAAAAATCATTGTGTAAATGAAATAATTGTAAATCGGGGTAAAATAACCAGATGAGCCAAATCACCCACTCTGGTGTTTAATTCACCTTTAACCTTATGTATGGTTTTCCTTGCATTACATATTGCTTTCCCTCAACAGAATCAGTCATTGAAAAGCAATTTTTAATGGACCCTGCAATAGCAGTCCAGCGTGGATGGTGTATGAGTGAGGACAGCTTGTATCCATTGGCATGGAGAGCAGCCTTTAGATAAAAGCTGCTTTTACAATGTGTCTGCATCCCTGTGCTTCCTAGCAGAGGGAAGAGCAGATAATTGCTGAAGGTTTGGGCACAGAGACAGTGAGAGCACAGGATCCAGGTCAGCTGACAGCTCCTGCAGAGGAATATCCATGTACCCTTGTGCCAGGAGCAGCAGAGTTAAAAAGCATCAGTCTGCTGTTCAAAGGAACCAGCAAAAACAAAATGTAAATGAGGTGCAGCTCCATGGATGTGACTTGTGACTGAAGCATTTAGCAGTTTCACTGAGGAGAAGAAGAATTTCTGCAAGTAACGCAGACTTCAGACATTTGATCTGAGTGAAAAGAAGCAATTCAGGGCATGTGGACAAAATCTTCAATGCTGTAGAAATTGCAGTTTCTCAGAAGTTTTAAGACTTAATGATATTTGCAGTGCACACCCAGGCCTAGGTTAGGCCTTTTATTTTACATGCACAAATGAAAGGATTTCTTGCAAGACAAGAATTGAAACTTCTTGATTTTCTCCCACTGCTGTAATTTTGAAGAACTGCAGAGTTCTGGTAAATATGTGAAGGCCTTCCTAAATCCCTGAAGTGATTGGAAAATATGTGAGATGGCCTTTGAAGTATCTGACATAATAGATGAATGTCACTTCTTGTCCCTTCCTCCTGCCCTGGTCAAAGTACAAGAGACTCCAACATCTGTTAAGGAAAACAGAAATTCTTTCCGGATTTCCTGGATGCAGAGCCACAAGAATCCTTTTTCCTCTAGTAAAATACATAAACCTCTGAAACAATTACTATTTGTATTGTTTCTAGCAGTCTTTCTGTTTTTAGTTAACAGATGTGTGTATAATAAACAAGTAGTTTAGATCCTGTTTCAAGCATACATTGTGCATTGTCTATAAAAATATGTAGGATTTTCTTTTTGTTTGTGGGATTACTTGCTTTTTATGCATAAACACTGATTGTGGCATGAGAATAAAGTAGTTTCACTTTGCAACATATGTGATTTGTTTCAGAATCTTCCCTCTGGATCTCCACCTGTTGGGGCCATTAAACTTACCTATATTTCAAAGGTAAGCTAATTAATATGTGAGACACATTAAATACTTGATGGTAACTACCAAGGGCCTCAACTTCAGACAAATTTAAATGACACTTACTCCTTTTGCTTCTGTGATACTCCTGAATTAGAGAAGTGTTAAAACACTTCAATAGGTTCAGGTTAAAATAAGAACAGATAAATTACTGTGTTGTCTAAGTTTGTGTAGTGATTTCAAACAGCAGCTGTTTGTGCTCATAAAATTGAAATTTCAGTTCTTAAGGAGTATTTGAAGTCCCATTAGTCTTGGAAAAAAGACAGGTCATTTATGAATGGGAAGATGACTTTGGGTGTGATACCTTGCAAGTAATAGTGACTTTTAATAGACAGAACAGAAAAATTTCTAAAAAATACCTAGTCCTTTATACTGTGTATACAGTTAGTTCTAAATATGTCTGAAAGGGAACTGTGAACTAAGAATGTTTCTGTGGTTAAATTTGTAGCAGATAGTGCATTAACAAATAAGTGGAGAAAAATACTTGACCTTTTCTTGTCTGTCTGCTCATTTCTCGTTCTTCCTTTGCATTTTTGTTGTCAATACTGCATCTTCCCACCTTCCTTGTTTGTCTTTCATTTTCGTTCTTTTATAGTTCTCTTTATCATTATGCCTAACCACCTTGCAGTGCTTCTAATCTTTGAATTTACCCCCTTGAAATGGAATAAGACTTTGTGGTATCTGATGTGTGTATTTTGTGACATTTATAATCTGAATTTCCCTTCTAGGTTAGCGATGCAACTAAGCTGAGGCCAAAGGCAGAGTTCTGTTTTGGTGAGTTTGGCTTGTGCTCTGTGCATCAAGCGTCTTCTTGAGACATTTGGAACAAGGAGAATGTTCTGCCGTTCTGGTACCAGCTACAGCTGGGAGTGGTTAAAAAATAGCTTGTGTTCACTTTCTTCTTTAGTATGATGGAAATGTTGGCTTCCTCATAAGGTGTTTTTGTGTTTTTTCGTATTGCAGCTTAATGAGGAGTAGGTGAGAGCTGTTTTTTCAGATGTCTGAAATTTTTGAGGCATTAATAAGTAATGACAGTTGTTTTGAGAAATGTGGCCTGCCTGTCAGCTGGGAAGACAAGAAATTTAACTATTGAAATCGGTTTCCTGATGAAAGACTTGATTTCATTGATCTAAAAATACTCTCAGCCAATGCTCTTAAGTGAAATTTCAGCTTCTGGTGCTGCACAAAAAAAATAATTCTTGGGGTGCCTTCTAGATTTAAATTTGTTTAAAATTTACTGAAGCTTTAGATAATCCTAAAGCTCCTCCTGGTTTTAGGCAAGTACCTGGTGTGTCAGTTCAGTGCCTTCTACAGATTACAGATTCCTCTGCACATCTATGGAGGGCTTTGTCCTCAGCACTTGGAAAGTTTCTCCTGTCAGTGGGCCAGCTCTAAAACACCTTAAAGATCCAAGATGCTGGCTTAAATATCTCTAATTTATTAAAGAGTTTTCATACTTTGTAGAGGAAAAATACAAATTCACTGTCTTTATATTCAGATTTTAATCACCGTAAAACCTATTTCAAGAATTAGCCATGATTTTTTTTTTTTGCTGTTACACTGAAATGTGTTTGTCCTTTTTTGATGAAGGATGCCAGGGGTTGTGAGGTAGAGATATAAACTCATTAAAATATGTTTCTCTGCCAAGTCACTAAAATAAAATAATGTTTGTGTTGTAGTTGTCTTAAAGTTGTTTGGTCTTGTGCATCATATACTTAGTAATTAATACTGATTTTCCCAGCAATTAAATTTTTTTTTAAAAAAGTAAATCAGTGACCATAGTCATGTTCATAATGTCACAAAGGATAACAGATTCTGGCCAGAGGATTAAAAGGAGGAATTGTAGAAGTCCCCAGGTAGAAGACTTGTTACATGGGGAAATTGAGAACGAGGAAATGGAACTGTAGAATATTTAGATAAAATTCAAGACAGAAAAATCCATTTTCAAAGTTTGTATCATGCCATTTAAGTGGAGAGCTTAAATTACTATTTTTTAGAATAAAGCAATCAAGTAGATTTATGTGCTTTAAGATGACTTTCTAAAATGAAGCACAACAGAGCACTTAAATGCTTTAAATGGAATTTTCATCTGAAATCAAATATTTTCATAATGATATTAAGTTTGCTCTTAAATTTCAGTGTTGTTAACTTTTCATGATGGTTTTCAACAGTTATGAATGCAGGGATGAGAAAATACTTTCTACAAGCCAATGATCAGCAGGACCTAGTTGAATGGGTAAATGTTCTGAACAAAGCTACCAAAATCACAGTAAGTGGTTGAGTTGATCTTTAGCAGTGCTTTCAAATTATGATTGTCTCAAGGTGCTCAAATGTAACTTTTGCCTCCAGTTTCTACCACCACAAACAAGTCTTGGCTTGACTTTGCAGTACTTGGAGAAACTGTAGAGAACTCCCCCTAAATTTGAGTTTAACTTTCTTTTTGGAAATTGGACAAAAGATAATCTTTTTAATTATAGCTTAATATTTTTTCTAATAATTTAAAATTAACTGTGCATTAATATTATTTGAAATATCCAGAAGACACTAGCAAGCAATGAAAAGACACACATACTTTTACCTGCTGTCAAAAGTTGTCATTTCTTAAAGTATCACTAAAATATTTGATCAAGCTCCAAAGGCTCTCTCCTGATTTTGAGTAACATCCATGCAACGAAACCTTGATGGTTCTTCTGGTAAATGTTAAATTACTTCTCTGGGTTGTACCAGCACAAGTTTTTATCTCGTGATAGAAACCCCCACGTGTTATCTCAGTCTTTTCAGGAGGCAGAAGTTATGGTTTTATTTTTTCCAGTTTTGGGGAAGTGATGACCATGAACACTTCTGAGAGCACACCCTGACAAAGAAGGGGTTCTGAGCATGGGTGCACACTTTTGTGTCTGTTGTCAATGACTTTCTCATTTTTGGGTTATCTAGGGATGTTAACATGAGTTCTTTGCACTGTTTTAATACAGCCCATTCTTTGGAGTTAAAGAAATGCTACTGCTAATAATAAGTGTTAAAAAGCCAGAAGCACAAAGCCTTCTCACTTTGGCTTTTCATAAAGAGGATGCGCCACAGCCAGGCCTGAGCTGTTCCCGGTTGAAGAAATTAAATGAATAAATAAATAAATGATTGCATCAATTTAGAGTGAATGCTGTTTATCATCTGTTTATCTTGCATTTGAAATGGCTGGTGAAATCATTAGTATGATTTTGTCTTTGAAGGAACAAGCCTTTGAACAGCTCGAGTACAGTATTAAGTACATCCAGTTATTGAATCAAATAATTAAGATCACTCAATTATTTTAATATGAGCATTACTTGCTGCAGATTGCAATCCTCCAAGATTCATTGCATGTTTTAGTCCTCTTGAGTGCTGATAATGTCAGAATGGCTGTGAACCTCTGCAGCCTAGCACACTGTGTACCCATTTTTGAGTGCTGTTTGAAAATGCCTTTGTGTGAGGAGGTGGCTGTGGGCTTGGGCTGCAGCATTTTCAGTAGGAGTTTGTGACAGCTGAAGCACTTCCCCACAAAGCTGTAGCTACAAACCCTGCTTTTCAAAGGCTGAGGCTCATGAGTGAGCTATCCTTCAGTGCAGGGCTTGGCTGGGGATGGAGTCCCTGGCAGAGGGCTGGCCAGCAGGACACTGTCCTAGGCTGACATCTGCTCTCAGCACTGTCTGTACTTCCCTGCAGGCTGCATTTTGTAAAATGAGCACTCCTGGGCACAGGAACTTGAATCACAGACTATAAAGTGGCTTTGCTTTCTTGTCTAGATCAGTTCAGTTCCAAGTTTTGAATGTGTCACAGTCTTGGATGGACAATTTGTGTGTCCTTTCTGAAGGAGTTTGGATGTCCTCTGTAAATACCCAGTAGGTTGCTGGGTGGGGTATTTGGGTGCGAGACTTGATCTCTTCTTGTTGAAGTCACTTCAGATGTGTTATATTAACATTAGAGGTGAAGGAGAGATTGAAGGAGAAGGAGAAGAATTGAAGGAGAAATTTCTTTTTCATTAGAAATGAAAAATGTCTTGTAGTCACTGCATTTCGTAGGTTAAACAAGTTTACTCAGAAAACTGAGTAAACTTTTTAGATCAAAACACTTAGAGGGAAATCAAATTCCTGTGGAGTTTTGATGGCTTAAGTTGCACATTTGAGAGAATTATCTCATAGTTACTGATAGTTAGGTAGGCAGGGTCACTGGCCAGAATTTAGCAATATATCTGTGATTAATGGGGGCAGTAACACAATCTTCATGCCAAGTACATGTGAGGACAGATGTCACCCTGGTCAGACACCCTGTGTGACCAAAGTCCCAGTGTTTATGGCCTTGCTGCGCTGCCTCTGCAGCCACTGGGGCGTCTCCACTTTCTCACTAAAACTGAAAGCAGCTGAAAAATAAAGAACCAGTTCTCAGTGCGTTGTGAAGATTAAGTGATGCACTTTATGGCAAAGCTTGCAACTGATTTCATCCCCTGAAATGTCTTTATTGGCACCACTTTCCTCTGGAGCACTAAAGCACAGTCATTACAACAAATTTTTGTGTAAGCCATTTTTAGCCTTTTACAGTTAGTGACCATTTGTTAAATCCTGCTGAAAATGCCTCAAAATTCTTGAGTAATGCTCAGGGCTTTTTTTTTTTTTCCATGAAACTAATGTCAATTTTCACATTCCAACTGCAGGTACCAAAGCAGTCTGATCCTCTCTGCCAAATGGAAAATGCAAATCGTCAAGCTGAAAGCCCAGGTGGGAAGAAACAAGTCTCTTACAGGACAGAAATTGTTGGTGGTGTTCCCATCATTACACCCACCCAGGTAATACCCTCCAGACAAGTGGGTCAATATTTTACACACAAAGCTGTACTTTTATGTGTGAGGATTTTATTCCCTTTATATAAGATTTTAAAGATTTGCTTGAGTACTGATTTTTTTTTTACATATTTGCTAGTATAATAATAATATTTTTGTCGGCATAAAATTAATAGATGGTGTTAACAGTGATGAAGTTCTGCCCCTTTAACAGAAAAAAGGGGAAAAAAGTTGTAAGGAAAAGTGGGGGAAAAAAGGTTGAGAGGCTGAACAAGCTTATGGAAGTAGAATCTGTGCAGTGCTAAAGATAGAACTGAATCTGTTGCTGAAAGTTTTCTGAGATGAAAATAGTTACAGATTAGATGAATATCATGTAAATTACATGTATACTCCCAAAATGCATTAAAAAAGGTGGTGAATTCTGATGTCTTGTAGTCCTAGAAATAGCTTATTGTTTGCTGTAGCCACCTGTAGTGTTTTGCCCATGTTACAAAATACATGCATTAGTTTAAATCTGTACCATTTTTTAAACTGAGATTTGTCAATATTATTTGAAAGTACTCAGCACATTCTTGGTTTAGTTTCTAAGAGCAGCTTACAAGGACTCAGCCCTTGGGGAATCCCATTTGTCTCTGGAAATCAGTTAAAATAGTTTGTTCTTTCAAATTGGAAATGAGATTTATGAGCATGGGATGACGAAGTTATTTCCTATTGTAACTACTATAGCTATTCCTTCACCTTTAGAAAAGTAAAAAAACTTGAGAGTATTCTGAACTTTCCTGTGTTTTTTCTAGAAAGAAGAAGTCAGTGAGGGCAGTGAAGGGGCTGACAGGAATTATTTGAAGAGGTCACAAAGTCACCTTCCTTATTTTGCTGCTAAGCATCCCCCAGATAATGCCATTATCAAAGCTGGTTACTGTGTCAAACAAGGAGCAGTGGTAAGTATTATTAAAACAAAATAAAATTGACAGAGATTTTATTACTACTGAGAGTAATAAGGATTAATTAAAGATAAAATTTATCCTCTAGTAGCACTTAATTTTTATCTGAGTTTCTTCTTTTCATGACTTTCTTTAGTGTTGTGTTGTTGAGGATATTTTAGAGAGGCAGTGTGTGCCCAGACTTCCATGTGATGGTTGGTGCATGCAGCTGGGAATTCTCTTCTGCATTCTGTAGAGATCCTTGTTTTGCTTACTAAAAACATCTAAATTGGGACAGAAGTTCAGTGCCTGCTTTTTAAATCAGTCAAAAAAAGCTGATTTTTCAGTTCAGAGGAAGAATTGTGCATCTTATCAGACTGATTAACACAAGTGGAGCTGTTCATGTGATGTCTTGCTAGAAGAAGGAACAGATAGTTCAGATTAAGCAAGATACACATCTTTGAGTTCTCACACTCTTTTTATCTTGGATTATGAAGCTTCCTTTTGTGACATCCCTTTTTTAGCTAAAAATAAACTAGAAACCTGTGATGTATTGTCTTCCAAATTTTCCTATAGAATAGTTCTCCTGCTGAGTTTCTACAGTTTGAATAAATCTTAGAAAATAGTAGCTTTAAGAATTTTAAATTTTTTCCAAAAAAATTACTAATTGGGCAAAGTCATCCATAATTATCTTGGGGACACTAAAGATGCAGAAGTTGTTATTATAATAAACTATAATGAAAACATTATTCAAAATTAATAGTTATGAATAAATAGGAATTACAAAATATCATGTACTATAAATAACAACTAGAATGCTAAATATAATTTCATATATTCATAATACATTACCTGTAAGCCTATTTTATTTTATATGTAAAATATATAAATATTTATTTATTTTCCCTTAACAGATGAAGAACTGGAAGAGAAGATACTTTCAATTAGATGAAAACACAATAGGATATTTCAAGTCTGAACTGGTAAGTTTCCAATTCTGTGTTATTTTACAGTGAGAGTTGCAAGGAATATGCTTGTGTTTGAGAAATGTGCTCTGCTGCTCCTGCAGCTCTTGAGTCTGTACTGTAAAACCTTTTAATGACTGGGAAGAACCAAAAAAAAATTAATGGGGCAACTGTTCAATCTGTTTGGGAACCTTCCTGTAGGGCACTGAAGAGCAGTAATAAAATCTACTCTGCAGTCACCCTGATTCTTGTATTAGTACTTTGCCATTTTACACTCTTATAAAATTAATTGTGTTGTTGAAATAGCTGATCACTGTGAGAAAGACAAAACTAATCGTGCAATTCTTCATTTAAATTTAGAATTATGCTTTATCATCCAGATGGTGGGATCTTCTCCCACACATTTGTTTCACCAGGGCAGCCAAGATGGACAAAAACCTCTTGATTTTCTGTTCAACAGCAACATTTGCAGAGTTTCTTTTAGCTTCATGACCTTTCTTCTTCCCCTGTCACTCTTAAGTTTTTGGCTGTTTTTGACCAGATGTTAAGTGCCTTCAGGCTTCATTTAAAGATTATATATATATATAGATATATATAAAGAGAAATGGCTGGTTCTGAAGACAGTAAAGTTGGGATTCCTTTTTAGGGAAAACAGTCCAAATGTAAGAAAATCTGTACCTAAGGAATGAAACCTGAGTTGTAGAGTATTATAAATTAAGGAGAATTGAGTTTACAGGCCAAACATAAGATGTAAAATGTCAAGAACCCAAATTTCAGACTGTTTCTGAAGTTAACTTTGATTTCATTTCTAATGAGGGCGTCTGCAGCAGTAGCAGGGGTTTGATCTTGCATCATTATCTTTGTTAAGCTGTCAGCAGAACAATTCTGACTCACTGCCGGTAAGAAACCCTCTATTTTTATTTAAAAAACAAATGTGAGCTCAGATTGCTCACAAACAAGCTCTAACCCAGTGAAGAATTGTGCTGTGGGAGAGTGGAATAGAAGGATGGTAGAAATACTCTGACTTTTAGTGTTTCATTGTGTTCATTGAGCCTGTGCCAGTCCACAGGAGCAGAGTGGAATACAAGCAATATGAGATTCAGAAAATGATAATTTCTGAGCTGGGCTTTTCCCTCCAAGAGATGGTCTTCACAGTTGATGTATTTGAAAATGTATTTTAATGGATGATTGACTCTAAGAACAGCAGAGAAGAGATACAAGGAGCACAATAACTGAAAACATTGGGTTTAAAACTTCCTACATTTGATCTGCTAAAGAGCAAAATGATTAATGGGAACTGCTCTTGGAGCATGGTTACATTTGGGTGACATTTGCTGCTTGCTCAGCATAAATCTCGTGTCTGTTACAGAAATTGTAGGGGAAGTCATTCCAGGGCTGAAAGCTTTTGTTTTATGTGGAAGTTGTGGCCAAGTGAAGCAATCCATTGTAACTTGGCTTAAAGAAATCACAGTAGGAGGTAAAATAAGTTGTTGTTTGTTTGTAGTTTACTGCAACAGCCACTGGAAAATAATAGTGTGTGTGATATTATGTTGTCATGGGAGAAGTGAAAGTGTTTCTCTTTGAATGTACTCACTTTTTTCCTATTGTGTGAAAGTTTAACACTTATTTTTGCTGTGGTTAACAGAATTTCTGAATGCTTTGAGAGTACTTGTTCTTTTACAGGTGTTAAGGACTGGTTTCTTTGTAGCACTTTTAATTGTATTTAGTATAGGGTACAGTTAATCTTACTTAAAGCCATGTCATGCAGTCCAATTAACATAGCATCTTCTATGGTAGCATTTCATAGCAGATTAATGCAATCAAAATTTTAATGAAGTGAGCTGCTTGAGGCCAGGGTCAGTTGTCTGATCTGCTTAGGGGGAGAGGACAGCATGGTTGTCTTCATTATAGTCTGGAATTAATGTTTTGGGAGGTTTTGCTTCTTGATTTGTCCTCCTCTTCATTGCAAGTGCCGTGGTTGGTTTAATACTTACAAAAGCAAGGGAAATTTTGGTTGACTCCACTTTTTTCATAGTGACTGCCTTGAAAGTCTTACTTTTGTAAGTCTTATTTTGCTGCTGTCTTGACCTCTGGATTTCTGTTCTACTTTTTAGATATACTGTACTAAAACATATTTTTTTTTTCAGGAAAAGGAACCTCTCAGGGTTATACCACTTAAGGAGGTCCATAAAGTTCAGGAATGCAAACAGAGGTGAGGAGGGAAGCACTGATATCATTACAAGGGATGGAATTCCCTGCTTGGCATGGCCAGGCTGCTCCTTGGAGAACTGTTCAATAACTTCACTTGATGTGTGCGTGTGGGGTGTTCTTTCTTTATGGGACAGCACATTGTTTTGTGCATTAAATGGGTTTTTTGAGGATTCTATATTAATGTGTGTTTCAAACTTGCAAACTTGGCACAAGGGCAGAACAAGAGACTGTCATGGAACCAAGAGTTAGAGATGTGTGGGTGCTGTCTGGTCTGAGGCAGCAATTTCAGGAGTCCCTACTCTGCTTACACAATCTCTAAACCTTTAGAGGACATTAACTCATGTTGGGTGGATGAATCTGGCTGAGAGCACTCTTCACCCTCCTACCAAATGGCAATATACTAAAGAATAATTGCTTTTGTAGCACTTGAGAGATACTGATTTTTCTGTTTCTTCTTTAGCAGACTACTTACATAAATTTGACTAGAATGATATTTTTAACATATGATTTAGAATGTTCAGATTAAAAATGTATGATAAATATATTTAGACTTAATGTTATATGATTTTAAATGTTCCAATTAAAAATACATATAGTAGCACATGTGTCACTGGTAAACTGAAGTCTTGGGGCTAAAATTAGTAAAAAAATCAGTAAGAAAAATAGTAGAGTGATAAAGAAATGCAAAAGTCAGACAGCAAATGCTCTGATTCTCTGCCAGTCCTACAGTCTTGTTAAAATACAGTGGGAAAGTTGTACTTGCTTTTGAACTATTTTTGTATTTCATTTGCAGTGATATAATGATGAGAGACAATCTCTTTGAAATTGTAACAACTTCTCGAACCTTTTATGTGCAGGTAATTTCTTTTTTTAAACTTCGGGCAAATCCAAGAGACTGCCAGAGTTAAATACACTTTAAAAATGAAATAGCAGCACTTCTTCACTTTAACCATGGCATGATTTTCAGGGGGAGTGTGATCTTCAGGTTATTTTTACTGCTTTATATAGTGGTATGCATTTTATAAGTTCAGAGTAAGAAATGTCTGGGTTAAGAAATAAAGTCTGCTATGACCACGTTCACAGGGATCTGAGGATGAGGGAACAGATGAGGATCTGACTCCATGTTTCAGGAGGCTTGATTTATTATATATTATATATATTATACTAAAGCTATACTAAAAGAATAGAAGAAAGGATTTCATCAGAAGGCTGGCTAAGAATAGAAAAAGAAATAATTAATAACAAAGGCTTGTGACTCGGACAGAGTGTCCAAGACAGCTGGGCTGTGATTGGCCATTAATTAGAAACAACCACATGAGACCAATCACAGATGCACCTGTTGCATCCCACAGCAGCAGATAATCATTGTTTACATTTTGGTTTTGAGGCCTCCCAGCTTCTCAGGAGGAAAAAGTCCTAAGGAAAGGATTTTTCAGAAAAGATGTCTGTGACAGTCTGCCTGTAAGAAATGAGGTCCCCCTGTGTTTCAGTGGCACACTGAGCAGCAGGGTTAGCTTGTGCTGCAGGTGGTGGGGCAGTGGGCAGGCTGGGGCTGCTGTTGACCGTGCTGCTGTTGTTGGCTGCAGGCAGACAGCCCCGAGGACATGCACAGCTGGATCAAGGCCATTTCTGGGGCCATCGTGGCGCAGCGGGGACCGGGCAGATCGGCGGCTTCCGTACGTCACCCTGCACCTCAGAGGGGCTGCCACGAGCTCCTGTTCACTTGTGCCACTCACTCCTGCCTCTTCCTTCTGCCTTCCCTCTCTCCTGTCCTGTAGTAACGTGGCCTCTTTGCATGAACTTTCAAACATCAAATACTTTGTGGTTTTAATGGAGCACTTTCTTTAGTCCTACCTGTGACTTTCTGTGCACTGTTTGTCTTGAACACGTAGATAATGTAGTGCTAACCTGGACAAGTCCAGTATGATCTGTCACTATTACTACTTTGGGAGTTAAATTAAAACTTTCTAATTCCTGTGAGGTGTTTCTGCTAATTGCTGTGTTTTGCAATCCAATGACAATATCCTAATTTCCTTGTAACAACTCTCACTGCTAAATTGTCATTCTCTATTGCTGATAGTTTATTGTATATAAATTTAAGCTAAGAGATCTGTGCTCACACGAATTAGTTCTTGCTGTTGGAAATGCAGTGAGAACAGCATCTTGTAGTTCCGAACTGGGGCACTGTGACAAGTGTTAATATTTCTGAAGCCACGTGGGTGCCAGCATTTCATATCTACTAGCATATCAACTGTATTAGTTGTTTAGCACAAAGGTCATTAACTTGTGGAAAGTAGTGGGAGTTACCCTGGTGTCACAGTGTCTCCAAGTATGCCCAGATGTAGCACCAGGAATACTTCACAGTTCAGGTATTGCATGCTGTGTTTTTCATTTTCTGTCTCTGGGATGTTTTGTAATAAACTGGATGCATCATTACCCCCATAATCTGAAATCTAGTAATTCAAACCTATTTTTTGGCTACAGATTTGCATTGATACCATGTGTCTGGTAAGCTAAGCTCCCTTTAGCTTAAACTCCCAACCAATTTTTGGTAGCTGCTTCATGCTTTTATTTAAAACTTCCTGATACAAATTTTCTCTTTGTGGGGGCAATGAAGTCCCGCAGGTAACCTTTCTTTCCGTATGCTTTTTTTCCTGTGGTTTTCTTTTTGTGTGGGGCTAACTGAGCAGTGTAGCTATGACTGTCTGCATCACTTCTTGTTCCCTGTGTTGTCCTCTCTCCCAAGTCCAGGTGACTCTAATCTTAGCTTTGCACTGTGTTCCAGATGCGGCAGGCCAGAAGGCTGTCGAATCCTTGTATACAGAGGTATACATCAAGAACTGGTGAATGCAGCACGTATGTGGGCTCTCATGGAAACTCGCCTTCTTAACAGAGGGCTAGGACTAGACACTAATTTGCACTATAAAACAAACTAAAAAATAATGCTACCTGTTGTCATTACCATTACTGAAAACTAACTCATCAATAATATCGTTCACTCACAGGTTTGCACTGTTTTTTCTTGCTTTTAAAATGATTGGAAATGAAAAACACCAAAACCGCTGCTTATACATCAAAGCACAGTAAATATTTAACCATAAGTGATGTCACTTTAATAGGAAAGCACTAAAGCTAATTTGCATGAGAGTTCATATTTCCATTTTACTTTACATTTGTTTTGAAACTGCGCCAAAGTGAGATTAAATGGAAGCTGCCCACAAACTAATACAGATGAGTGCACACAGAACATGCACGTTGTAACTCTAGGATTTGGAAGGCCCTAAAGTAGCCTGATCTGCATGGCTTATGAGATCTCTGCATGAAATGATTAGTTCAAACATAGAAGCATTATATAATAATGTATAATCAATGCCCTGTTCAAAGCAGGGCACCTTAGGAGTAGTGCAGCAGCTCAGTCTCTTAACTGTGAATTTACAGCCAGTGTGGGTAGTAAAATTTGGATATCCCTCAGGGCAGCTTAGTAAAAATTCAGAGGTCTTGTCCTAATATCCCTTTTGTCCTATTTGGTCAAGTAAAATTATTAATAGTAAGAACAATAGGTAAAGCAGTGACTCATAAGTTCTTCTAAAGCAAACTTTTTTCCTTAATTGGAATATCAAGTCAGGTATGAAATAAGGCAATGTAAATGATGTGAAATACTTCAGTGAAATTGAACACCAAACTCAAGTCCAAAAAAAAGTTTTACAGGTTCATCCAATAACATTAAGCTCATTTATAAAAAGAAATATGGTAGTACTTGGCAAAATCCATTTTCATTAAATTTATTAATTCATACGTCATGAGAATGTCATAACATTCTAAAAGAAACTTGAAAAACTACAGTGGAAAAAAAAAGTATTTAGGATTTATATTTGCATCTTGGACACACATCTGTGATGGGTTTGGGGTTTATTTTTTTTGCTAACAAATGTGCTTGAGAAATGCCTTGATTTGTGTGTGCACATGGGCTGGCAGATTCCTTTAGCTCCTGGACTAACACTGGTGATGGCAGAACTGGCAGCAGCTGCAGCTCCCAATGCACACACAGTTCACTGCAACATTACACAGCATTTGCATCAGAGCATTTCAAACCCAGCACTGCTCAGGGATTTGAGACACCCTGACAGAACTGATGGATGCAGTGCAGAGCCCAGGGAACTTCTTGTTCTTGTTCAGGAGGTCAGGCTATCCCAGGACATCCAAATGGCATTCCATGCCTGCTCTTCAGACAACTAAATCATCCCTGGGTAGTCTGGGGACTTGTTTTTGTCAGTAAGTAAATGGTGGAAGATATTTTAATAGCTATGTAAAGGTCAGCAGAATGATGATAATAAACACAAAACAATAACTTGCATGGAAGGAGTAGCTTAAGTATCAGTTTCTTTTTTAGGTCATTAACTTTGGAAATTTTTATATACTCGTGATAGCTTAAAATTTTTGTTTGGTTCTTGGGAGAAATTAGGAAGATTTGGTGCTCCAAGAACAGGGAACAGTAAAATGTGCACTACTTCAGGATCCAGGATATGAGTGTTTGATTTATATGAATAGATCTGAAGACATTTTCTTTTGGAAAGATGTGACTTTCAATGACCTTTAAAGTGTGCATCTTCAAGCGGTTATTTAACATCTTAGTAAAATGAGGAGCCTAAATTGCTGGACTAAAGTCTACAGAGCTGCTGTGCTTGATTTAAGGATTTCATCTCATTGAATGCAGCAGCTGATGTTGCTGTGAGCTCACACTCAGTAAAGCAGAGCCTCACAAAGCACCTGCCTCCTGCTGCCGTGGCTGATGCTTCGCTTTGTGTATTTTCTGTCTCCATATTTGTATTTATTTTGTTTTCATGAGTGTGAAATCTGAACCTGCATCTTTCCAACGTGCCATCAGCCACTTCACCTGACACATCCCCTTCTTTTTCCAGGAGCATCCCGAGTCTTCTGCCGAGCCCGGCCATGCTGTCCGTGCAGCCAGCTCACATTCCACAGCCCCTCACTGCAGCCCTGTGGCCCCAGCCCCTCACCCCAAACCCCCTGCCTTGGAGAAACGAGGATTTCACGAGTCTTTTACCAAGGCCAAGCCAAGGAGCTACAAGATCCAGGCTGTCGCTCCAAGAGAATCAACTTCCAAAGTGACTGACCGGGGTCCCTGGGAACCCCGGAGCAAAAATGGCACTCAGGAACAGGATCCTGGCCTTGTGGATCTGGATGATGCAAGCCTTCCAGTTAGTGATGTGTAGGGATGGAAGAGTTTGGAGAATGATCCATTTGTTCGGTCCTTTAATTTCCTTGCTCGGACTTTGAACCAAAGAAAATTCCAGGAAATGAGAACAAAACAAAAAAATAGAAACCGGAGCACTGCTGTTATATATATGTGTGTGTGTGTTCTGTGCACACATGGGTATATATAATGTGTGTGTGTGTTGCCTTTCAGCTGAGGGTCAGAGATGGACCTTAGGCATTTTCTCAAAGCCTGATAGTAAATCACTTACTAGGGAGGGGCCAAACTGCACAGTTTAGGAAAAAAAAACCAACCCAAAATGCATTAAACAAACAAACAAAAAGTACTTGTGCAAGTAAGCAAGGTACCAGCAACTGCTAATTCCTAATCTGGCAGGTTTACTAAATTTGCAACTAACGCTCTGTTTTGGAGAACTTGTTGCCAACAAATGTGATTATTTAATTTCATCTTAAACTACAGTAAGATTTTAGGTATATATGAGAATTTTTTCTCTCCGTGACTTCCAGATACCAGGAAATGCACAAAATGTTTCTTCTGTTCTTTAAGATCAACGGTGTCAACTGATTTGTTATCAGAACAAGAATTCTGAACTCCCTTGGAATTCTAGTTATGGTGCTGTAAAATTTCCACTAAAATAATATTTTGAATAGTCAGCCTATTTTTGATGCACTCCTAAAGGTGGGTTATAACTTTTTGCACATTTGGATTTCCACAGACTGCATGTATTGGTGTTTTGGAGGGGGGGAGAAGAGAATTTGGACTTTGGAATAATTTGGACACTTTAGATCTTTTTAACTAAGTAGGGTTTATGTTGTGTTACATTAGGCTTTGCAGCAATTATGTTTTCTTAAATGTTTAAATGTATTGTTTGGTTACTGTTTTGAGAATGATTTCCTTCCCAGTGCTTTGTGAGCAGTTCTTGTTTCTGTATTGATCAGTGGAAGAGCTCCTTTAGTTGTGTTGTTCTTGGTACTGAACTGTTCCTAGTCCTGCAATCGTGGCCTATAACTTTTGGTGCACTAAGAATCTGAAGTGCCTGTGTTTTCTCTCACATTGTTGAAACACTTTGGGGTTAGTGATGTACACAGACCATTCTTACTGGGTTTGAGCGTTGGCTTGGAGTTGCTCTGGATAGCATAGCTTGAAACAGCTCTTTAAAACAAGATTTATGCCAGGGGTACCAGTGTTCTGGTGTTGCACCCACTGCTGTGCAATATGTGTTCTTAAAAAAGTGAGTATTTGTTGTTTGTGTGCATTGTGTTATGGGGCATCAGTGATGCCAGCGAGGAGAACATTTACATTTCAAGTGTTGGATTAGGTGGTGTGTACTTTTCATCATTTTTGGATAAAAAACCCATTTGCTTTAATCCCAACCCCACAAATATCTCATGCTGCTGCTTACTGTGATCCCAGTTGTCCAGCTCTGTGAGATTTTCTTTGTCTGCTGGAACCTAAGATACATATCAGGCAAGTCCATCTTCTCTCCAACTTCCAAACTGACTTCCTGCTTGAGAGATATGGATGGCTTTACCACAGCAATTTGTTGATCCCAGGACAGAATAATTGGTGTCATATTAGAATGGAATATAATGAAATTCAAAACCTTAAATTATATCAGCACCTTCTTTTGGTTTTGGTTTATTTTTTTTTTAATCCATAAGCTAACTAACCACTGTCTCAAGGCAGTGGTGTCTGTAAATTACTGGTTTTGTTTGACTTTAGATATATGTGAAAACTAGCACAGAATTGGAAATTACTGTAAATGTCTGTACTAGTATTGTAGGTTTTAATTTCTATTAAAAGAAACCATTAGCTCTTTAAAAGCTTATTTTTTCACAAGTACATTCTGCGTGGAAGACACTTTGCATTGTAATATTTTTACTGTAGTCTAACATCTGAAATCACTTGCTCTGGTACAGCTTTCACACTGCATGGTCATTTTATTGTATTTTGGTATTGGCAATTTTACACATTGGGTGGAGGTAAAGCAGCTCCATTATGGGACTTACAAAAAGAGGGGAAAAAGAGAAAAATGAAAAAAGAAATGAACTACTGTTGTAGTTCAGTAGCATAGGGAAATATTTGTGGTTGGTCACTGTCAGGGTCTCCTATTTATCAGTACTTTTATAAATCTATGAAAATTGTTAAATTATTTTAGAAACAGTGCTGTAAATATGTCACATTTAAATTGTCAATAAATCAGTTTGGGTAACTTAAAATAACATCTGGTTGAGTTTCTTTGCACCATGACAAGTATTTGATCAGAGCAATACATTCTTTCAGCATGTAAGAGATCAGATTCTCCTTTATCCAACCATAGCATCTCTAATTCTTCGAATCTAATCAGGTTGTGTAGCCTAAGAATGAAATTTAACAGACTGAGCTGATTTTCTTGTGCTAATCTCAGTTTCTTCTGTGGAAGTTTTACATGTCATGCAAGGGATATTGATTAAAAACCATTGTAACATGGATTTTTCTGTCTTTACACGGATGGATCAGAAAGGTTTCCTCTCAGAGATGCTTCCCTGAAATCCAGACTGGCCCCAGTTACCCAGATTCCACTGCCCCCACCTGGCTGTGCACTCTGCCCCTGCACTGAAGAGGAAATCAAATTATTCTGTATGGCCGCAGATTTTAAACTCACTGTGTTAAAATAAAATACTTACAGAAAATGGAACTGCTGACTGCAGTGCTGACTGGGGGCAACTGCTGGGGGGTGATGTGTTAGGATACAGTTTAATAAAGTGGAATATTCCTTAACCTCGTGGAATATCAGGATGTCAGCACCACCTAGGGGTCACACTCCAGCTTTAAAAATCAGTCAAGTCTAGTACTAATCTACTTTTAAAGTGTATTTCATACTTAAAAACTGATCTGGAGACTCCGGTTGTTAAGTCACTGGGCTGTTCCAGGTTGGGTGGGTTTTTTTGTTTTTTTTTGTTTTTTTTTTTTTTTTTTGGTTGGTTTTTGTGGTTTGGGTTTTTTTTGGTTTTTTTTTGGTATTTTTATTTTTGCTTTTTTTTTTTTTAGGTTTAATAATAAGTATTATAATGGATGGAGAAATTACAGAGTGTACCTAATTTGGACACTCTGAAGGTGTGGAACACATATTACTGTCTTTTTAACAATTCCATTTTAAATAATGGTGAGAGAGGTAAGAAATTAAAGATGGGGAAATATTGGATAGGGAATTTAAGTCTAAAACTTGAAATTAAAACAGTGAAGCCATGTATAACTTTACCTTTTAACACTTTAATGTCTTAATAGTCTTCTGAACTCTGCAGAACAGCCTACAAATTATTTGATGCTTCAAGCCAGTGAGCTGTTAAAGCCCTTCTGAGGTGAAGTGAAATAGTGAAATACTGAATGCAGCTCTCTGGACAACTGAAACCTGAATCCTGCCCCGGGAGTTGTGTCTGCCTGGATTTTTTCACTTGAGATTTTCGGTGCAACCTCTGAGGAGAAGAAGCTGGTGCTCATTTGTGAAGGCACGACTAATGACCTAGCTAGCAGCTGTTGAACGCTGCCCTTCAAAGTGTCACTTTTGACACTGTAATTAGAGATTTGCATTTCAAACGAGGGGAATTTTGCCTATCAGGATGCGCAGTGAACGCATCCTGCAAGAATTTAAACCACTCTGCATTCGGGACACTTGAGTCACCTCTGCTCTCAAGGGATACTGATAAAAAAATCCCAGGGGAAGAAAATGTGATATAGATTTTTCTGTCTTTACAGGGACGGATCAGAAGGGTTCTCTGAAATCCAGCCTGGCCCCAATGACCCAGATTGCACTGTGCCCCTCCAGAGCCGTGGCAGTTCGTGGGGCAGTGGTTTATTTTGCTATAAATGACCAAGTTTCAGGTTGTTTCACAGCCTGCAGTGTCCTACGTGCGCTCCTGCAGGCAGGAAATGCCACCTGGCCACAGAGACACGCTCGCTGCAGATCAGCAATTGTTCCTTGGGGCACGCTTGGCTCCCTGTCAGGCTTTACAAAAGACACCCTGATGGCTCGTTTCGTTTGTAAATTGTGCCAGCAGTAATGCCTGTCGAGCACCAGGGTTAGATTATATCAGGGGAAGAACGTGGAGTTTTAAATTCCCTGGTTTGAAGCCATTCTCCTGCAAAGCAGTGGCATTTTTTTCTCTATGTAGCAATGAATGTGGTTTTTATAAAGGTTCGGTTTTTTCTTTCAGTTTTTATAAGATTTCTCTTGTTATGTTTAAGTGGAGAAGTCCTGGGGTTTTGGGAGGTGAGAGTAGGGTTGTTACACTTTTCCCCTCGAAAATCTGAGAGGAAGCCGTTAAGGCATACAGCAAAATAATGATAATAATGAAGCGAACAGAATAAAGCTGGAAAAGCTTTCTGCAAAGTTGGAGTTTGCTCGCACTATCAGCATTCCAAACTCCCCAAAGCTCCTTCATCCTCTTTTCTGGCCAGAACCCTTCTCGACTCAGATTTTACTCTTTTTTCTCTGCCCAAATGTGCCCTTTTTCATCCTTTTCTTGCTCCCCCTTTCCGTGTGTGTCCCAGGCTCACATGGCAGGGCAGGGCAGGCTGGCACAGCATCCCTGGAGCCCTGGCAGCAGTGCCCACACTTCCATCCCTCATGGGGAATTTCTGCAGTGTGATCTCTAGGTGGAGCCTGCTATCACCCAGTTCCCCGTGAAAAGTAGGAGATGTTTTACCTCTGAGACTCCGGATATGTTTTTCAGACCACGTTTCTGGCCTTTCTGGTGTTAATGTCTGCTGTTCTATGTCAGGTGGAGGAGAAATAATAATTGCTGTTGGTGCAGCACCTCTCAGGTCTAAGGCACTTCTGCACAGATCAGATAGTCAATTAACAAATTATTTTTCAGTGAGCTAATTCATTAACCTCCCCAAAGACTTAGCTCGGTTATTCTGGAAAGCAAGACGTTTATAATCAGATTTTGCGCACCTACAACTACAAAATCAATATCATAAATTATTATATTTTTAATATTCAGTAGAAGATTTACATTCTTACCAAGAAGAGTTTGGAGCTGATAGTGCTGGCTGATGTGTTAAAAATACGTTTTTTTCCTCTCTAGAACAACCACTATCAAAGGTGAGGATAAAAAGAGACACAACCATCCATGGACAGAGGATGGCAGAACCTGGAGCTTTCCCACTGTGGGTAATTTTTTCCTGCCTGTGGAGATAAGGCTGCAGTGGCTTTGGGCAGTAAATTATCTGACCACAGCAATGTGAGAGGAGAGCAGAGAGCCTTTCTGGGCTGGGGAGGATGAAACCTCACAATAATTCATTTATCTTTGAGTATTTTGTTCCTGCTTCCAAATAGGAGTTGATGAGATCTTTCCTGAACCCGTTTGGGTTTTTGGGGGTTTTTTGTTTGTTTGTTTGTTTTTTTTCCTTTGGTTTGAATTTTTTTGCTGGATTTGTTTGTTTGTTTGTTTTTCTTTTTATTTAAATGGATTTGGGGGTTTTTTGTTTGGTGGGGGTCGTTGCTTGTTGCTTTCTTTCTTGCTAAAGCTCATCAGCTTTTGGTAAAGACTTGTCTTTAAAAGGGGCAAAACCCAAACCAAACAAAAAGCCCACAAAGCCGTCGATAAGCAATAGATAATTAATTACTTGGAAACATTTTGCCGTGATATCTATCCATTTATACATACATGGATATATATAGATATATATATCCCCCATATATATATATAAGGGGGTATATAAATGTATACATATGTACCTACGTTTAAAAATTTTTTTTACTTTTAATATTTTTGAGCTTTTTCTTAGACTTGTTAACACAAATTATTTTAATATTAAGACAATTTTCTGTGAATTGTTCAATTTTACTTCTTGGGTCACTTCTGAAATCAGGGGATTCTCCTGAAATCTCTTTTCTTGCAGAGCACAGAAGTTACTGGAAAACTACAGATTTAAGGAGTTCACACTGAAACTTTAACTGGGAACACTGGAATATACTTGGTTTCCAAGCTTCAGGTACTAACCAACAGTTTAGTAAGTTTTGCACACAGTTTAATAAGTTTTTATGGTGTTCCCTGGGACAATTGGAATTCTGGTGCTTGGGAAGCTCAAATAGCTCGTTGTTAAACTTTTCTTAGGGGAAAATATTTTGAATTATTTTGTGTCAATGTAGTTGCTGACAAGTTCAACTCCTTGGTCGCAGCTCATGGAACAGTTAACAGCATTTCCTCTTGCCTAATGGGTTGTAAAGTTCATTAGCTGCTTGATTAGGTTATCGGCGCCTGATAAAGGTACACTGAAATAATTATAGATTGGGAGTCAGTTCAAAAGTTTAATCGGCTTGTAATTTAAAAAAAATTGGCTTTGCTGAGTTTCCAGCTCTGTTAAACCGCTCCCTCTCAGCTTTGGCAGGGATGCCCTGTCCCTCGGAGGGCGCTTGGTTGTAATTAAACCTCCTTGTAAGTGCCCGAAGAGCAGATGGCAGAGAGGCCGCTGTCCATAGGTTCTGGCCGGTGCCCAGCTGCCGGGTAAATGGGATCATCCTGCCTGAGATGGTGGAAAACTCCTTTTTTCTTCCTTTTTTTCCCCCCCCCTATTATTATTCCGGTTGATTAACCTTCTGCTAATTGCTGGTATCCACCTCGCCCTGCGGCTCTGAGCGTGTCGGGCGAAGCCGAGCAGCAGGCTCGGGAGCATCCTTCCTCCCATCCCTGGGGTACCGGCCAGCGCCTCCCGCGCCCTTCCCAGCCGGGGATCTCACGGGAATTCCGCCCATTCCCAGCGGGGAGTTGATATTGGTATAAATTATCTGATATTTGCGCACATTTCCACAGAATGGATGTATCCTTCACTCCTTCCACCCCATCCCCTTATCAGCCGGAAGCTTTATCGGCGCTTACTTTGGATTGTTTCCCCGTAATTCCCGAGGTGGGGAAGCGTCCACATCCCCCTGCCCTGGTTCGCAGGAGCGCCTTATCAGCCTTTCCCCCGATCTTAATCATTGCCGGCCGCGGTTTCGGGGCTTTCGGCGCCGAGTTTCCCCGCCGAGTATCAGCCGGACCTCCGGCTGTCCCGGGGGGATGTCGCTGTCCCGGGGGGGGGGGGGGGGGGGATATCTCTGTCCCGGGGAATATGTCGCTGTCCCGGGGGCCATATCGCTGTCTGACATGTTAAAAAAACAATTCCACACCTTTCCTCTCTAGAACAACCACTATCTAAGGTGGAGTTACAAAGAGACACAGCCTTCCATGGAGAGAGGATGACAGAATGACAGAACCTGGAGCTTTCCCACTGTGGGTAGTTTTTCCCCTCGGAGTGTCTCTGTCCCAGGGGAGATGCCGCTGTCCCGGGGGGTGCCTCTATCCCGGGGCGGCTGTCGCTGTCCCTAGGGGATATCTCTGTCCTAGGGGATGTCTTTATCCCGGAGGGCTGTCGCTGTCCCGGGGGGGGGGATATCTCTGTGCCGGGGGGGATATCTCTGTGCCGGGGGGGATTTCTCTGTGCCGGGGGAATAGCTCTGTCCCGAGGGGGATATCTCTTGTCCCGGGCGATGTCTCTGTCCCGGGGGGGCGGTGTGGGGGTGTCCCAGCCCCATCCCGGGGTGGGGGCCGTGCCCGCGCTCCGGTCCCGCCCCGCCGCGTCTCCCTTAAAGCGGCCGCCCGGCCCCCGGCGCTCTCACCGCGCTGTCCCCGCTCTCGCCGCCCCGGAGCCGCCGCGATGCCGCTGCTGCGGGGCTGGACGCTGCTGCTGGCGGCCCTGCTGCCCTCGGCGCTGCCGTCGCTGCTGGCCGCGCCGCCGCCCGCCTGCCCCGAGCGCTGCGATCGCTCCCGCTGCCCGGCTCTGCCCGCGGCGTGTCCCGGCGGGCCCGTGCCCGACGCCTGCGGCTGCTGCCGGGTGTGCGGGGCCGAGGAGGGCGAGGCGTGCGGGGGCGCGGGGCCGCCCTGCGGAGAGGGGCTGCAGTGCGTGCTGCCGCCCGGAGCCGTGCCCGCCTCGGCCACCGTGCGCAAGCGGGCGGCCGCGGGGCGCTGCCAGTGCACCAGCAGCGAGCCCGTGTGCGGCAGCGATGCGGTCACCTACGCCAGCCACTGCCAGCTGCGGGCCGCCAGCCGCCGCGCGGAGCTCCTCCGGCAGCCGCCCATCATCGCCATCCAGCGCGGAGCCTGCGGGCAGGGTGAGGATGCGCGGGGGGACGCGCGGGGCGCGGGGGATGCGCGGAGGTTCGGCCCCTGCATCCCCATGCCCGCTCGGGATGCGCTTCCCCGGGAGGAGCCGGACACGGGGCTTGGCCGCGGCTCAGCCCGGCCGCTCCGGCTCAGCCAGAAACCGGTTTGGCAGCAGCTGCCAAGTGCAGGGGGGTGAAAAACCCTGTACTCGATTTACACTTATGTCCCACCCAACCGAGGGGTGATGCGCGGTTCGAAACTGGGGGAATCTGGTGCAAAGCCTGAGCAGCGGGTGCGGCTGCGGAGCGCAGCAAAGTTTGGAGGAATAACTCCAGCGCGCTCCCGTCCCGGCTCTTTGTCACAGGGAAATGCCCCGGGGAATAAAGGCAGGAATGCAGGAGCCGCTCGGATGTGATGGAGCAAAGGGGTGGGCAGAGCAGAGCAGGCTGCTGCCTGCCTTGGCCCGGCTTAGTAAATGCGCTCTGATTAATAAAATACTTGCTGGAAGGGGAGAAGCCTGTTAACAGCGTGTTAAGCTCAGCCTAGAGTTTTGCGTTTGTTTTTGTTGGGGTTTTTTTAGGATGGAGATGGACGCCGATAAGTAACAACGCGTGGCGTTTCTCCTTCGGCATTCTTTAGTTGTCAGCGTAGTCAGACCCAATGTAATGCGAGTACTCAGTGCAGGACGGATGTAAATTATTTTAAAAAGGTGTAAAAAGGCATTGCTGGGTTACGAAACGTGGCTGAGCAGCCCGGAGAAGCGTTCGGTGTGGTGGGAGCGGTGGGTGCAGGATGTGACACCGAGCGGGCAAAGCCGAGCTGGGATAAGCAGGGGATGATCGTCACAAGATGCAGCCCCTAATGCGGGCTGGATTAAACCCCGTAAGCCGAGGCTCTCTATCCCTTCCGAGCCGTTCAGCACCATTAGGGGGTAAAAATTAGCATGAATTAAACCTTTATATCTAGAGTAGTAGTCACTTTTTAGTAAGTCAGCGCTGTTTTAGTGAGGATTGATTATTTTTGTATAAGTTGTATCATTTCTGGACTTCCCTTTTTTAAAAAAACACATCTTCTTCTATACTTAGCCATCATCTCTCCAGCAGAAAAACATTCTAATGTGTAGTGGCTGTGTGTTCAGCCTACAGATCAAGCTCACAGCCCTGGTGTCAACACAATCAATTTTTTGTACCCCTGGCTGTCCCCTCGGTGTCAGAGCTGCGTTGTGCTCCGTGGCACGTTGCTGGCATTTGCTGTCACTGGAGACAATCAAACTTTTCACCCCGCAGTTTCCTGATGCCCCGTGTAAGACAATGCCTTGTGATTTTTATTCTCGATTCGTGAAACCGATGTTGTTTTCTCAGCCTTTTCTGCCGAGCGTTTGCAGAATTGGGGCTGTGTTTGAGCTGGGAGCAATGCGTGCCTCTGGTGGGGGGGACAGAAAATGCACGGGCTGCACAGAGTCCCTGTCTGGGAAAGCTCTGCTGCTGTTGTGGATCCATCAGGAGTAATTCCACACAATCATTTTGCCCTGTTGCACCTCTGGAACAAAAAGAAAGTGCTGGAGAAGCCAACCAGCACCACATGTTTATCTTTGGGTGAGAGCAAACATTGCTACCAGCAAAGCTTTTTTTTCATATGTAGAGAACCTGAACTAAAAAGGGATGGAGGGTAGGCTGTAAAGTGCTTGAATCGATGTTTTGAAAAAGCATTGCCTAATATTTGGCTCCTTAATGCAGTTAATTTTTAATTTTATTTTGAGTTCATCATCAGGAGTGCTTTTTCTTCTTAAAGATTGAGTTATCTCTAGCTGTTTTATTCATAGTAACACACCCATGTAAATAATTCAGTCAGTACAATGCAACAGCCTTGGGAAACGAAGGAATGGGAACACAGAGAAAGTGTTTGGAAAGCGCTTTTTGTTGATGTTTTTAAACTTCACACTATTTCAGTAGATGGTCAAGTGTGTATACATTGTGTATATTGTATGTACACAATGCTGTGTATATTGTTTAAGGTAAAGTAAAAATTTTCTGTCGTTTTCAATTTTCTTCTACAGTCTGCTCCCAGTGCTGATCAGTGATTCCCAGGGAATCTCTTCAAATACCAGCAGTGTTTAAAGGGAAGCAGCAGAGGCAGGAGCAGGTTGCTGTGGGTCTGAGTGCAGAAGGGGGATGATTCCCTTTGCAAAATGAGCCTTAAAAAACTCCAGCAGTGTCCAGCTGTGCTGTGCCAGCATAACCAGTGCCACCCCTGCTGCTGTGCCCCAGCCCTGAGCTGCAGCTGCCACTGAAGAAATCTTCCCCTTCCATCAGAGGATGCTCAGGCCTGCAGAGCCCATGCTGCAGCTCTGTGTGTGCTAGTACCAAACCCAGAGGCACAGAGAGAGGTGAATGTGCCCTGGGCAGGATCTGTGGCTGTGTCAGAGCATCCCACGCCCAGGAGCGAGGTCACTGCCACGAGACCTCGATGTTCAGTGGTGAGGTTCAGCATGCTGGGAGGATGTTTTCTTTTTCTTCTGCAAATATGTTTTTGGTGGCCTTAAATCCCTCCTGCTGACCAAGGAAAGAGGGTTCAGCACACAGCTTCAACCAGGCTTGATTCCCTTCCTCGTTTTTCCCACAAGTGCTGGCAGGCGTTTTGGGACACTGTGCCCTCCTCTGCACACTGTAAAACATAAACTGACCTGGATTTGTCCTTTCCTCATTAACCTGAGGAAGGAAAACATTCCTTGTGGTGGTTCTCAATTTCTAACTACTTTCTGCCTGGTTTTATATGTTTTCATGTTTTTGTTGGGTTTACCATGTCTAATGTGGTATCTCAGTGAGCTCAGCAGCCCTCAGCTCGCTAGCATCTGTCACAGGTGGCTCTGACATCTGTCCCAGGCGTGCTCTCACCATGATGTCACATCTGGGGTTTGCTGGGAGCTCTCATGGCTTGGATTAAGCAGGACATCACAGCTGGACTGCCTGGGGAGGACGCAGAGGTGAGGAGTAGCTCAGTCTAGAAAGCTGTGTACCACTGAGATACAGGTTTGCTGCTCCATCACAGCTCTACACACAGCGAGGGGGAAGCAAAAAAAATGAAAAATCACTCAATTGCTTGCAAAGTGGCCCACTTTGTGTTTTGAAATGCACCAGGCATCTAAGTGTCTCAGTGTCATTATCTGGCAGGAGAAAGGGACCTCTGTGGTCAATAACCCATTTGTCATTAACTGAGTCCTTCCAGAGCAGCCTAGGAGTGAGCTGAGGGCACAGGGGATGGGCAGGAGAGGAACCTGCCTGAATTCCTGTGCCTGACAGTGCTGCAGGTCTGGCAGGAAGGGATGGACCAGGGCAGGGAGAGAAACTCAGCTGGGAAACCTGTGAATGTTGGGTGTGATGGTGTTCGCAGGGGTCTGAGGATGAGGGAAGAGACGAGGATCTGACTCCATGTTTCAGAAGGCTGATTTATTATTTTATGACATATATTAAAGCTATACTAAAAGAATAGAAGAAAGGATTTCATCAGAAGGTTAGTTAAAAATAGAAAAAGAAAGAATGATAACAAAGGCTTGTGTCTCAGACAGAGTCCAAGCCAGCTGACTGTGATTGGCCATTAATTACAAACAACCACATGAGACCAATCACAGATCCACCTGTTGCATTCCACAGCAGCAGATAACCAATGTTTACATTTTGTTCCTGAGGCCTCCCAGCTTCTCAGGAGAAAAAATCTTAAGGAAAGGATTTTTCAGAAAATGTGTCTGTGACAGTTGGGAGCTCAGCCAGATATTTATCAAGAGGGAAGCTGATACTGTTGTTATGAACGAGGCTTTCAGCGGCTTCCCTGAAGATAATAACAGGCACACGGTGGTGGTTTTATTATTGTTATTTGTGTGCTGAAGAAGTGTTGGGAGACTCTGGCAGGTTACTTTGCACGTGCCAAGTCTATTAAGAATGACCCAGGAGGAGCAGGATTTTGGGGTCTGAGTGCACAAATGGCCATTCCAGTGCTGCTAAATGTCATCTCCTCCCTCAGCTGCTGTTTGGGTGGTCTGAACATCATTCTTTCCCAGCTTCTCCTCAGTCTATTTTGCAGCAGCAGGAGAAGGCAGGGAGGGAGGGAATGAAGAGGCAGCTGAAGGCAATGGAAATAAATAGCAACATCTTTCCAGAAGAGCACCAATTCCCAAGTGTGGAATTAAAAAGCTTTTCCAAAGCCAAGTATTCAGCTCGGAGAGGAGGCCACTGTAAGAAGTGGTTTGCCAGAAGCAGCTCACCTTTTCTGCTCTCCACATCCAGATTTCCTTCCTGGGCAGCAGGCAGTAATTTCGCAGTCTCCAGACTTCAAACAGTCAAGTCAGTAAACACAGATTGGGAACAAGGAAAGATTCAATCCTTTCATCTTCTGGGCTTTGATATTTAAAGGTACCTGTGGACTGGGCAGGAATGCTTGAGGCCATGAGTAAGCAGCAGGAGTGTTGTTAGGATGTGAGGGAGGCAGCAGATCCTGAGCAGCTCTCCGGCTCTGCCGTCCAAGAAATAGGAGAAGCTGGAAAATATTTTTCAAATGTGAGTTTACGTGCGCTTGGAGTGAAAGGAAGCAACGTCAGAAATAGAAGCTGGGGCTCTGTGGAACTTGTGCTGTAAGTGCAGCCACTCCTCACTCCCAGAGGCTGCTGGGGCCTCCAGGATCCCTGGCTGGACTTGGCACCGAGTCCCACTGCCTTTGTAACTGGGCCCAAGTGAATACCTGACATTATTTTGGAGCCTGTGTTCAGGATGTAGAATAAAATATTTTATTTTGCCTTCTGGATGCAGGTCATTGTGATTCCCAAATTATTTATCCTGTTTCAAAGAGAAGACTATAACTAAAAAATAAGCCTCCACTCCCTTATATCAAAGGGCTGTAAAATAATTGATCTTTTACTAATGGATGTTGACCTTATATCTGTAGGTAACAGGAGAGTTATAATACCTTAAGCTTGTGAGACAGGACACAGGTGAGTAGTTATTTTAAAGTTTAATGA